GTTTTCCTTTAACTGTTAATACATGAACGTTGCAATGCGTTCAAACGGGTCCACACTCCCGCGCCGCCTTTCCGTTACTTTGTACGTCCGAACACGGAGGCGCGTCTCGAGAATCGGGCCCACGCAGTTATTTGATGTTCCCTCCCGCGACATTGACGTCCAGTCATCGCTACAGGTAAACTCAATAGATCAAACCCCGCCGTCACCTCCACTCCTGCCACCCCTCTCTCCCTCTATCCCCATTTCGTATTCACCCGTCTCGGATCTCCCCTCGGAACCCAACGAATTTCCAGATCTTTCCGAATTTCCTCCCTTATACTCCACTCCTCAGGCTCCTCCAGATATAGACTCCTTACTTGCTGAAATTCCAGACCCCCAATCCTCTCTTCCTACGCTCCCTACCTCCCAATATATAATCAATTTATCAGAACTCCTCGATTATTGGCTAACTTTTCCACAAGGTCCCCAGCGCTCCGCAGTCGTCCATTTAGAAGGTTCCCCATTCCCGTTGAACACTTGAATCCCTTCACTGAATATTCCCCAGCTTCATAATCCCATACTCAATTAATTCTACACACATCAATCGCACTAAAAACAATTACCAAAGAAATATGGAAATATCGCATATTTACTAAAACGCCTCTTCATATTTATAACGCCGACCACGATTGCACTTAGCCCAATCCCCGGCTCTTTGGATTTATTTCCAAGGCCGAAAAAAAGAGCATCGAACGCACTGGCCTAACTGGGATAGAAGTGTGCCCTTATGGCACACTGACCCAGTTCCCCGGCCTTTAGCCTGTGCATTTGCCTCGAGCGGCACTCAGCGGAGTGTCGATCTCGAGAGAGGCTTCCGCTTCATCCTCCCTCGAACCCCCGGCTCTACCAAGTGGCCAAAGGGCGAAGCGAAGTGCCTCCTGTTGAGTCGGTCCCTCCCCTAGCTCTCTTGCGGTCCGGAGCTAGGACCGACGATACAGCGGTTCGGTTCGCGTTGCGTCCACCCCCTCAGGTTCCATGCATGCGGAACCTCGGACGCAATAGTAATTTAAGATATTTTTATTTTGTTTGTACTGAAGAGAGAGAAGAGAAAGAGGACCCGAAACAAGGATCGAAACGATTACTGTATATTTTTATATTAAATAATAATAAATTGTTTATTACACATGTTCATCCTGTGTAGGCTCTTATAGGCATTATACTTTATTTTTAGATAATTATTTATTATTATTAATTATTACTTATTATTTTTTATTTTTTATTCTTATCTCAATTAGATATTCAGACAATGTTTCAGGCATTCAGATACGAGGGTCGTCTGAAAAGTTTTGAGCCTCATCATGAAGATGGCGTTACTCGTCAAAACCATTCTGGTATTATAATCGTGATACTTACGAAAGATATCTGTGACATTTGTGGCCACTTTGGACGTTCAGTTCTTGTTTAACAATCATTTGTGTTCGTCATTTTGTAAAAATGGAAGAAATTGAATATCGTGCTATAATTAAATTCTTGCATTTGAAAGGCAATACATCTACGCAAATTAAAGCCGAGTTGGACGCTGTTTACGGGGACTCTGCCCCATCATTTACCATCGTGAAAAGATGACTAACTGAATTTAAACGTGGTCGTACCAGCTTAGCTGATGATGAGCGTTCGGGACGGCCAACAACTGCGACTACCACCGATAACATCGAAGAAATTCATCAAATGATAATGGACAATCGTTGAATTAAGATTAGGGAGATAGGAGAGGCTGTTGGCATATCAAAAGAATGTGTTTGTCATATATTGACTGAAGAATCAGGCATGCGTAAGTTAACCGCGCGTTGGGTGCCGCGCTTGCTCACTCTGGATCAAAAACGCATTCGAATGAACATTTCTAAGGCCCTGTTGGAGCGGTTTAAGCGAAACGAGTCGGATTTTTTGCGTCGATTAATAACGGTTGATGAAACTTGGGTCCACCATTTCACTCCTGAAACGAAAGAACAATCAAAACAGTGGACTGCGAAGGATGAACCTGCTCCGAAGGAAGCGAAGACGGTTTTATCGGCGGAAAAGGTAATGGCGACTGTTTTTTGGAACAGTCATGTAACTGTGTTGATCGACTATCTTGAAAAAGGTAAAACAATAACAGGGACGTACTACACATCATTGCTTGACAAGCTGAAGGTAGAAATTGAGAAATAACGACCGCATTTGAAAAAGAAGAAAGTGCTGTTCCATCAAGATAATGCACCGTCTCACACTTCGGCGGTCGCTGTGGCAAAAATTAACTAATTGCGGTTCGAATTAATTGACCATCCACCGTATTCATCAGATCTGGCCTCCAGCGACTTTTTTCTGTTTCCTAGGCTCAAAGTTTGGCTCGGAGGACAGAAATTTTCATCGAAAGAGGAGGGCATCGCATCCGTAGACACCTATTTTGCAAAGCAAGACGCTCAGTATTATTTGAATGGATTAAAGGGGTGGGAGCATTGCTATAAAAAATGTATCGACTTAAAAGGAGACTATGTGGAAAAATAAAATTGAATTTGACCGAAAAATTATTTGTTTTCTATGTTAGGCTCAAAACTTTTCAGACGACCCTCGTATACCTTGTAATGACGTTAATGATACTTACTTATCAGCTCTATAATGATGAACAACTGGATGAATAGAATGACATCTCCAAAATATCAGCCCTACCTTCGGCAGAAGTTTGGGGATCTAAAACTATTTAATTTTTTACTTTTAACATTATCTATAAAATGGAATACATTTTGATTGTTCATAGTTCCATTAAAAATCAAACACCGCAATGATTAGAAAGAAAATAATGTGTTAGTTCATATTTAATTTAGCAAAATAGTCCGAGTAATCATACCAACAAGAACCGACACAAGTTATTGATGCGTATGTGTTTATTCGAATATAATATAAGAGAGAGAGACAGAAATATAAAAATTTCTTACTTAGAGGATAGTTTGATCGCTGTTTTTTATTATTCGTCTTGCTCTGGTCATTTATTCGCTTTATCGTCTCAATTTTTGTATATTGTGTCAATCTTGATAGATGTGAAGAATAGACGAGACGAGATAGTTGAAAATCCCGAATATTTTGACATGAAATTCGAGAAGCGAGATTTCAGCTCGTCAAGACGTAAAAATGTTTTCAATCATTTATTCTTGACGAGAATAAATCTCGGTATTTTCTCGTTTCGTCTCGTCTTGTTTAGATTCTAAGGATTTCAAAGTCTTAGTACTTTTTAAATATTAATTTTATGGTATCGGTTACTAAGAATAATTAGAACTTTTTGGGGAGCTACCAGAACTCAATAAAATATCGATTTTCCGAAAAAAATTTAAAAAATATTAAAAAAATTTTTGTTAGAAATCTGTAATTCTGTTATGACTTCTAATAGTCTCCCAAAAAGTTCTAACGATTACCCTTAATAATCAAATAGCCAAGAAGAAAGTTTTAGCGTACTAAAATAGAAAAATTCGAAATCTGAAACTTCAAAGTCCTAGAATTTTTTAGATATTCATTTTACCGCATCGATTATTAAGAATAATCGTTAGATGGTAAACTCTTCAGGGACTACCAGAATTCATGCCAGAACGTTGAATTCCCGAAAAAAATTTTTGACTTTTGTGAACTGGGAAATATTCAAAAGTTGAAACTTCAAAGTTCTAGAACTTTTTAGTTATGGATTGCAGTCATCGGTTATTAAGAATAATCGTTAGAACTTTTCGGGAGTTTACTAGAATTTATAACAGAATTACGAATTTCTAAAAAAAAGTTCTTTTTAATTTAAAAAAAAAATTTTTTTCCGAAGTATTCTATTGATTTCATCGATGCGCTGAAATTAATATCTAAAAATCTCTAGGACTTTAAAGTTTTAGATTTAAAATTTTTCTATTTCAAGGTTAGAACATTTTTGTTTGCGATCACAGCTCTTTTATTATTGGATAGTCGTTAGAACCCTTGAGGAGCTATCAGAACTCTTAACAGAATGCCGAAAATCAAAAAAATATTTTAAAACAAAATTAAAAAAAAATTTTTTTCGGAAATCCGGTATTTTCTTGAGAGTTATGATAGCCCCTCAAAGAGTTCTATCAATTGTTCTATTTGTATCGAGACGCTAAAGTAAAAAATAAAAGAGTTATAGCCTTTCCAAGTTTTAATCGTGAAGTTAGCCCCTCTAGATACTTCAAATAGAATTTTCACCGCTTTAATCGACGAAACTCTTTTTAAAATTGATAGAGATTCTAGAACTCTTTGGGGGGCAACCAGAGTTCTACTTATTTTTTTCAAATTTTGAAAAGGTGGGGTCAGCTTCACAGAAGTAACGTCTTTTTTAATTGTTATAAATTGTTAAATACGAATATATAAAAAATAATTTTTTTTTCTTTAAAATACCATAAATTATTTAATTATTTAATTATTAATTAACGCGAGTGTGGTGTAGCAGACAGCGCACTGGTCTGATGTACTAGAGATTCCGGGTTTGACCCCCGGTAGAACCGAAAAATTTTCATACACTCGTAGCTCCTCTCGGAAGGCAATGGCAAACCACCGAGTAATATACTTGTTCAGGAAACCTCTCTACCAAAAATTGCCGTTTGGAATCGGCGTTTAAACTGTTATAGGTTCCTATATACGTTGTGTACGATTAGTGTGCGCGCAAAGGTATATGAGAGGGGGGTGTCTATGTGCTGAGATAGTGTATGGCATTTGAAGAAGAAATTATTTAAAATATTTTTGTATGTGTAAATTAATATAAATTATATAATGTAAATAACAGGATATATCTCTAAAAATTATAGCTATATACATTTGCGAAGATATTTTTTCGATTTATATTAATGAATATGTATAATATGCGAATACGTGTGTATATTTATATAAATATAATTATAATAAATATAATAACATATATGGTAAGAAGCAAATATTTTATACACACACACACACACAACGAACAAATGTATTCTATAGTTAACATATCGTTTTTTTTTCAGACTTATATCATTTGCCGAATTTCAAGCGTTTGAAGGTCTTCTCTGTGTACCAGATGCTCTATATAAAACAGCTTTTCAACTCTTTGATACTAATGGAAATGGAATGGTTGCATTTGGTAAGGACTATTACGAAGAAATTGTCATTTCTCTTTTTGAAATAAGTTATATGTCTTTTATGGACATATTATTATCAATTTACAGACGAGTTCGCTGAGGTGATGCGGAAAACTGTACTGCATCAAAAAATGCCCTTTAATATGGCCAGTAGCTTTATCAAACTCTATTTTGGAAAGGATAAAAGTAGACTAATCAGCTATGCAGAGTTTAGTCAGTTTTTGCATGTGAGTATCATATTTTGTTGCATGCTTAAGGAGGTTGTAAGGCAAATGCAATATGTTAAGAACTACTTGAAAAAATTACAGACTATTCTAAATTTCATTTAATAATAATACAAAAAAAATAGAAACAATTGACCATTCGGATCAAAAGTTATTTAAATACGTAGTAATATTTTTTTAATTTGTACTCTAATATAAATATATGAAAATGTATTATAAAATAATAATAAAAATCTCAATTTTTTTATATAAATACTCTAGAAATTCAACAATATTTTTGTAAAGTTATCTTGAGATGCAGACATTAATTGTTCAGTAAATAAATAAAATTTGTTACTTGTTATGAACTAATGGTGAATCTCAATGAAACTTTGCATAAGTCATGTTTAGTACTTAATATATTTATATAAAAACATTTAGATTTTTCTTATTATTTTAACAATTTTTGTTTATAACAATAAAACTAATAACAAATAAAATAAATAACCTATAAAAATGTGTTGCTCAATAAAACCAGAATGTTATGAACACAACTTTCACACGTATGTAGTTTGTTTAAAGCGAAAATATTAATATATGTATTTTATGCCCTTACGACCTCCTTAATTGCTGATTTGCTTGTTATTCTTGCTCAGTAAATAAGCCAAGTGTGACGTAACGAGTGACAATGATTATGAATTATATATAACGCCGTATGTTTATTTTGTTTTTCACATATATGTATTTAATATATGTGTGTATACAATTTGACTGAGGTATCTTGAAAAGTCATGAAGTAACATTTCTTATTTCGGAATGTTTTCCATATATTAAAAAAAATTTATTCCTTGTACATACAGAATATAGTTATAGTTTTAAAAAAGCGATTCCTAAATATGATATAAATTAAAACAGGTTAGTGATAAAATTTTGTATTAAAAATGCTTATCTTTAGGATTTTCATGAAGAATATGCAACAGAAGCCTTTAAGAAATTTGATAAAGATGGTGCAGGTTTCATTTCCGCATTAGACTTCCAAGACATCATGCTCAGTATTAAGAGTCATTTACTTACAAAAGATGTGAGGGATAATCTAATTGCTGTAAGTAGTATTATTACTAAAGAGGAGATAGAAAACTTTGTAATTGACTACTAAATGTTTTATACTATACATTTTAATCACAATTTGTGTGAAGATAAGGTCAGAAACAAATTGTCTAAAGTATTAGGTATTAAACTTAATTCCTGCCGTTTTTCGTCTTCAAAATTGATTTGTTTCGAAGGGAAATACCTTAATCAAAGTATTATTAATAAAGTATTATTAATTAGTAATAAAGTAGAAAATGGAGGGAATTACTTTGATTGAGGTATTCATTCATCTTCCCTTCGAAACAAATCAATTTTGGAGACGAAAAACGGCAGGAATTAAGTTTAACACCTAATGTGTTTAATACATGTATGGAACATCCGCTAATTACAAATTAATATTTATTAATCTTTAATTTTGTATCATTTTAATGTAAAGTAGTATTGAAATTTATTTGAATGTATAATACCACATAATGAATTGTATTTTCATACATCGCAGGCAGTTGGTGCCGGTCAAAGCGGAAGAAAAGTTAGTTTTCCATACTTTATGGCATTCAATTCTCTCCTAAATAATATGGAACTTATTAAACGTATCTACTTAAATGCAACCAATGGTCACAGATACCAAGAAGTTACCAAAGGTATAGTGAAGAAAAATGCGTAAATGGATATTCATAAAAAATTTTTTTTTCTTGCTGTTGATGTAGAAATCATATATGAGGAAAAAATAATTTATTTTTTATTTTAATAGTAGGGGAGAGTGGTGTCGGTTGAAACAGAGGGTCAATTGTAACATTGACCGCAATAGCTGTATCTATTGACGAAAGGCTGAACTGCATGCACGGTTGCATACCGTTAACAGACATAAGTCATTGACGAAAAATTGAGTGGCCATTCGTAAGTGCAAACGTAGCAGCACCTATTTTTGTTAAATCAAGGTTAGATTGTAAACTTTGTTACCCGCCATTATTTAGTGCAACTCGTTCCGCAACAATTTGTAATACGACGATACTGTGTGATATGAATATCACACTTATATGAATATCAAGCTTTGCAGTAAGGTATATATATCAATTCAATTTATTGTTTACATGTAAGTTTAATGGATATAAAATCGAAACAAGCGGCGGTGATACAATTGACACCACCGCGGTGTCAATTGTAACAAGTTGCGACGATGCCATTAATGATAAATATCATTTATAATTTGTTACTTTTTTAAATATCTATTAAGTTGAAATTAATGCCAAAGGATATATTTGTTTTCATAAAAAATTTCAATTTTTTCTTATTTATAATAAATTGGTTAGCTGCAAAAAAATATTTTTTTTGTTTCAACCGACACCACTCTCCCTTATAATCTATATGTAGTAAATACGTTTAATCAATCAATTACTTTTACATTAATTTTCATCAACATAATGTTCAGTACATAAATATCTATAGATTAATTAAATAGATATTAATAGATTTTATCGTCAGTATTTAAACATTATAACTTTTTGCCAGAGGAATTTCTTTATTCTGCACAAATGATGTCCCAGATAACCCCATTGGAAGTGGACATTTTATTTCACCTTTGCGATTTACTTCATCAAACTGGGTGAGTATTTTCAACATTGAAATCGTTGATAAAATACTTTTCCTTTTGTTGATTTATTGAAAAAATATTACGAAGCAGTCACTTTAACATTGATCCAAAATGTTCAGACTTTATTAATTAAAGACCGATCCACGCTGGTCAACAAGACAAATACAAAATAGAGAACAAGTCACGTAAAACTATCGTTGCACCATCAAGCACATCGTCATCATCCAAATGTCAAGTATGTCTCGTTCTTGGCAATTAATGAAAGTTGATACTATTTTACGGAGTAATTTATTCCTAATAGCCAAGCTTACTATACAATGCTTAACTATATATCATTTTCTAATATTTAAATAATATTTCGTATACTGAAAACATTTATTTACGTGTTTACGCTGCCTGGATCAGACCTACGGAAGATGACGAAGCAGATTCGCGGCTTGGGTGCGTTTTGTATTACAGACCACGTGCTATAAATATATACCACGTGTGTGTACACACATACAAACACACACTCATATATTTTCTCAGACTATGTTAGAAATACTACCTGAATAGCCCCATGTATCATTTTATTATATCCTTGTTTAACATATGGTGAACAATAAGGATAAAATGATACATCGGGCCACCCTCGTGATATTGCTGAACGTAGCTTCACTTACAAACTCACTCACAAGGGAACTGACTCTTATTGATTTTAATGCGCTTTGGATATGTTGTAGAGCATGAAAAAATATCAGACCCATATTTTTTTTGTGCTTATCTCGAGGAGGTGAGACACCCCCTCGAACCCTTACGGAAATGGACTATTAGTGAAACTATTTGATTATTCAATCGTAGTTCTTTCGCAAACTATTGAGAAGAGCTACTATTAGATTATTGAGAAAACTATTCAGATAATTATTGGAAAAATTAATTCATTCAGTTTTATTATCACAAAATAAATATTAGTGTTTAACATCATATCCTAAAACACACACTACAAAAATGTGATAAAAAAAGTTTCTTCCTGAATTTGGGAGAGTATCTTGAATCTAATTTTACGATACTCTCAAGCTGTCACCCATCCAAAGCTGTATCTCATCTAGTGTTGCTTGATCTCTGCGATCGTATGAGAACTGCTTCTTCGATGATCCACGAATCCTGAATGTTTATAGATGTCAAACTGCTTAAAACTTCTGATTAAAACCAATTGGGAAAATTGGAATCGGTTTTAATCGGATTAATGCATCAAATTTTTTATATTTTCCTATTCATTTTTCAAATCGGAATGAGCAAATTCAATGGGACTGTATTAGTATAGGGTAACTCCGATATATACGCCGCACCTATCAAAAACTTAATTTATTAAGTATTATTTACTATGTTTATAGTAAACGAACTATATCAGTAAAAACTTTGTACTGTCTATTACTATGAAAAAAATATTAGAAATCCGAAATATTTATTTTTCATATTAAAAAATAAGCTTTTTGAAACCTTGTATTTTTGCCGCATATCTTATAGGAGTGGGATATATGGCAACTCATAGGGGAAAGGGGGCATGTACGGCTCATGAAAAATTTACAAATAATGCAAACATACTTTACTATTCCACTACACGTATGTATCACGAAATAACCACTAAGTCTTTTACACGTCCTACATTAATCATTTTATGTAGATTATAACTTATGATGGCGTTACTTATTACAGTAACAAATCCATTCAACTCATAATAAATTCATTAATATTAACAATAAGAAGCTGAAATCATAACACAATACTAATATAACATAAAGGTATGTAACAGAGTAGTTACGGGAAAATTACCCCCACTCCTTCTATTTTTTCTGACTTCTGCGGCGTAAATCCCAGCGCGGCGTATTTGTTGGAGTTACCCTATACCAATGTAATACCAAGAAAGGGCTGAACAAGAATTAATAAGATATTTCATATTTCCTTCAAATACGATTTAAGGGGTAACGCCACTCTAGAGCTTGAAAAAAAGACGTGTTTTTGATAATTTTTTACGGAGATACAATAAAGGAAATGGGAAATCTGTTTCTAGGAGTTTATTATACATGTTCTGAAGCAAATAAAAAAATTTTTTAATTAACATTTTTAAACAAAATGGCGGCTACATGATAGGAAACTCGAAACCACCTCTCGTCGAAGGGCCGGAAAAGTTTCTCCCACAATTTTCAATCTGGAACAAAAAACCAAAATTTTTAAAAACTATATATGATTGGTTATGGAAGTACGTAGGGGTTTTTTGACATGTAGCCGCCATTTTGTTTAAAAATATTAACTAAAAAATTTTTTTATTTACTTCAGAACATGTATAATAAACTGCTAGAAACAGATTTCCCATTTCCTTTATTGTATCTCTGTAAAAAATTATCAAAAACACGTCTTTTTTTCAAGCTCTAGAGTGGCGTTAAACTTTAATAAGATATTTCACATTTCCTTCGAATAGGATTTAATAGTTTTTTATAGGATTGCTACCCAATAGATTTTAATTGGACAAGCTGCCGATGTCAAATCCAATGGGAATTAACCAGTGAATTTCCGATTAAAACAATTGGTAAAATTAGAATCGGTTTTAATTAATGCATCGGAAATTTCCAACGTTTTCCTATTCATTTTTCAAATCGGAATGGATCGGAGCAGACTCAATGGGATTGTATTGGTATACATCCATGTATGCAAGAAAGCACTGAACAAGAATTATTAAAATATTTCACATTTCCTTTAAATAGGATTTAATAGTTTGTTATAGGATTGCTTTCGAAGGGTTTTAATCGGACAAACCGCTGAAAATGTCAAATCCAATGAGAATTAATCAGTGAATTTACGTAGTCCGTCTTTTTTCGACGAATCGTAATTAATGGAAAATTGATTTTTTTTTAATGAATATGGATTCAATGTGCTCATTGAAAAGCTTTGCAACTGTTGTAAAATTCTTCAATATATGATTGATTTACACATTTAGATGAAGAACTAAGGACAAGAACCGATCATGTTAAATAATTTCAAACCTTATTCTACTGAAGGCAAGGATTAATTGAATATTGCACGTTTATCTTTTAATAAATTTTAATTAGATAAACCGCTGATGCCAAATCCAACGGGAATAATTTTATGAAATAAATGCATGAATTTAATACACATTCATTATTGTGTAGAAAATTTATTATTAATTAACTTTTTATGACTATTTGAGTTTGTAAATATAAGAACCGTTGGATTATTGATTGAGTTATATAATTGTTAATTAAGGCCCGATTGCACAATGTTACTTTGATTTTAAATGAGGCTCAAAACTCTTTGTCTCTGTTTCTTTTTCGCTTTAAAACGAGACAGAGAATTTTAAGGGAGTATACCCTTAATTAGGAGGCCAAAGAAAACAAATCTTTGTAAATTTTTTTAAAAAAAGTATATGCACATATTTGTATGAAAGGTTTTATGTTCGAAAGAACTTACTTTTTTTGTTTGTTAATCATTATAGTTTGTACTATCTCGAAGCTTTCTGGTATATGTTCTAATCTGAGACAGGCGTTAAATATGTAAATATGTGATAAACACGATTGCCTTACTTGATAGTTCTTTTAGTACCCTAGGTGATATCTTTGAGCTTTTTTTGGGTTCATATTTTTATCTATTTCTTGTGCAATTTCAGTAGGCGTAAAATATTTGATTTTAAGTCTTTATGATACAATTTAATTGCTTCCTTACTAGACTGAATGTCATTAGTTTGAAATACCTTGTACAAGTGTCGAGCAAACAGTTTGGCCTTCATCACGGTATCCACTTTCCCGTCTCATCCTTTAGCGGTGGAATTCTAATAATTGGTCGTTTTAGTCTTCTAGTGGTCTTCCATAGAATAATTTGTATCTGCACCTACGAATAGGTTTCCTAAATAGCTTTCGAAACTTTTTTTTATTGTCTTTGATTAATCAATTCAATTGATTGTTGATGCGATTAAACGTATTTTTGTCTTCTAGGTGTCTTGTTCTCTGCCAGATACGTCTAGCTCTTCTTCTCTCTTTAATCATGCTTCTGATCTCATCTGGATAGCATATTTCCTGTATTGTAGTATTACTTTGTGCTGGTGTTGAGATTCTCGCCGCTGTATTTATATAATCAATGAGGTTTTGTGCTTTCTCATTTAATTCCTCCACGGTTTTGAGCCTTACCTTCAAATTTATTATTTGGTCTTCCCTAAATTTGTTCCAGTCTGTATGTTTGCTGGTAAGTGTAACTATCTTTTTCTTTCGAATAACTGTGGTACTAAGTGTTAGCAGCACTGGCATATGATCCGAGGAAAGATCTTCTATATTTTCAACTTCGAAGTAAAATTTGTTGAGATGCTTTAGTAATATAGAATTCTATAAGATTGTGTATTCTGTTTCTGTCTGCTGGTCAATATGTTGGTTTTCGTGATGAACGGACTTCACATTTATAGGCTTCAATTACCTTGAACAATTCTTTGCCTTTGGGGGAAATTAAGCGGGATCCCCATACCGTATGTTTGGCATTGAAATCATCTCCGACTATAAAGCGTGATCCAAATTTATTTTTTCCTCGAACTTATTTTGATATTATGGTGGGCAGTATATTGCTGTTATATTGAGGTCCGCATTATTATGTTATAAGGTGATTATAGTGGCTTGCAGATAATCATTTCTAATTTCCTTATATGAGGAGTGTTTCACATTATTTTTAACGACCACAGCTGTTCCTGCGTGAGCTTTGCCACTAGGGTGTGTTGTGTGATATACCGTGTAACCGTAGATCTTTAAATAGTTCTTATTTGTAAAATAAATTTCGGATATCAATGCAATATTTATGTTTTTATGATTTAGTAGGGTTTTCAGCTCCTTGGTATGCTGAGCCAGTCCATTCGCATTCCAGGTTATGATCCAGGTTATTCTAAACGATGTATCCGTCATTAATATATCCGTCATTAACACTTTAACTGTGGTTTTTGCTTATTGCTCTCTTCCAGCGCTTCCAGTCTGTGTTCAGTA